GTTGACAGGCATGCCTCAATATACTCATATAAAACCACAGGTTCAAGATCTGCTCTGGTTACCAGCTGATTCCCAGCTACAATCCAATATGCTAGTTGTCACCTTTTAAAGCCCTTTATAATTCATGCCCTGGATATCCTCAGTAATATTTGTCTGCCCAGTAAGAACATGTAGGATGACTGTCTGTGGTTTTTTCACAAATAGCCATCAACAGGGACCATGAAATCATGTCTTTTTGATCACTGCCTTTTCCTTTGAGGATTGCGTTCCTCCTGATCTGTTCACTTTAAGAAAATCTAATGGCTTGGAAAAGTATGATTGATCCTTCTAGTAATAAAGGATGCTATACTTTTGGTCATGGTTCTGATCTAGGTGACTTATAAATAAATGTAAGAATACAAGTAAACCAACCAACAATTTTTTTTTCTCTTTCTATTGCCTTTCTAGTTGTTATCACCACTTGTCTCTTTTCAGCTCCTTTGTTAACAGCTGGCTTCCCCCCCCCTTCTGATAAGTTATTTGAAGGAGATATAAAGTGATGATTTGGCCTTCAACTGACCTCAACTTTATTTAAACTTCTTATTCTCTGTGGATGGAGCATACAAGGACTATCCAAGGTTGAATATCATCCCTTTCAGATTCTAAATAGAAAATAGTGAGTGGAATTTTAGTTTCCCAACAATCCTTAAATTTGAGGTGGTACAATTTATGGAATGTTTCATTGTAGAATTATAAAAAGTAAGGGATATTTATAATCTATGAAGAGTTGATATACAGCTGAGATTAAAATTCGGAATATACCTGCTAGGGCAGTGATGGCGAACCTTTTAGAGACCAAGTGCCCAAACTGCAACCCAAAACCCACTTATTTATCGCCGGGTGCCAGGTGGGCATGGCTCACTGGGTGGGCATGGTCACCTCGATGTTGTTCATGCAGAGGGACGCCTGTGGGGGTTGGGCAGGGTTGGGTGAGATCTGGGGGGGTGGGCAGAAGGCTTGTCCTACGGGGTGAGGCGAGGCAAGGTGAGGCAGGGCGGGGTGCCATTGTCACAGGGCAAGGTGAGGCAGGGGCTGGGGCGGCTGCTGCCTGACACCATTGGCCCCCTCACACAGAGGCCAGCAAGCGCATGGGGGCCAACAGTGTCCGTCAGCAGCCACAGCCTGCCGACCCCTCAACTGGTGCACTCTGGGGCTCTGCAGCCCACGCCAGCAGTTCAGAGAAGCCTCCTCTGAGCTGGACAGATAGCCGACAGCTGAGCAGGCGATGGAGTGGGTCATGCCCAGGAAAAGGAGAGCATGCGAAGGCAGGAGGGATGGGATGGAGGGGAGGGAAACCAGCCATGCTGAGATGCATCTGGCCACATGGGACCTCGGCAAGTTAGCGGGCAGCTGGTTGAAGAGGGGTGGTTGCCATTTCCAGGTCATGTGGAACCTCTATGTAGGCCAGAAAGCCACAATATGGACAGAACACTCTTTAGAATTTTAATTTTATTGTGCTTGTTTTTAACTGTTTATTTAATCACTTAAATTGACTGTTTATTGTACGCCACCATTAAAATGAAATTTTAATGTATGCCGATTAGTGTACATTCAAAGTGACAATAAAGTTATTATTTTATTCTACCCAAAGGCATGTTTGAGAGGTATAAATCAGATAGATGATAGATAGATAGATAGATAGATAGATAGATAGATAGATAGATAGATAGATAGATAGATAGGAAGGAAGGAAGAAACAGCTACAATCACACATTGCTCCTAGAAGCACGAAGCCGAAAACACCAGCTGAAGATGACGAATGGGACTTCATTGAAACGTCGCCAAGACACTTCCAATTTTACACAGGAGAAAACCCGAATAACCAAAGACCTAGATCAGTGGTTCTCAACGTTTGTGTGATGGCGACCCCGTCACACAAACGTTCTGCGCATGCGCGGCGCGCGTGCATGGGGGCACGGCCCCCATGCGTGGCACGCATGCGTGGCATGGCCCCATGCGCGGTGCAGCCCCTATGCGCGGCACCGCCCCATGCGCGGCGCTGCCCCCATGCACGGCGCCGCCGCCATGCGCGCCACCACCCCCTGAGGGGAGAAAATGGCGGATCGCCATCTTTGGCGACCCCAGAAAAATGGTCGATCGACCCCAAATGGGGTCGCGACCCATAGGTTGAGAACCGCTGACCTAGATAGATAGATAGATAGATAGATAGATAGATAGATAGATAGATAGATAAATGGACAGATGATAGATAATAGATAAAATAAACATGACAAAACAGACTGGATTTGGATTGGCAGGGAGTATAAAAGGCTGCATACTCTTCCTTTATTTATTCAACCTATATGGCAGTGATGGCGAACCTTTTAGAGACCGAATGCCCAAATTGCAACCCAAAACCCACTTACGCATCATCGAGTGCTGGATGGGTGTGGCCCATTGGCTGGATGTGGGCCATTGGCTGGGTGTGGCCAATTGGGTGGGCATGGCCCATTGGGTGGGCATGGCAGCGGTGGTAACAGCAGACTGGGTAGGACTAAAAAATTCAATCAATCAATTCCAACTTTGCAAGATCTTTTTTTTCCCGCAAGAAATTGAAATTGACTGATTGATTGAACCTTTTTTTTTTTTTTTGCACATGGCAGCGGAGGCCTAAAGCGAAAAGGTTTTATAAAACCCAGTTGAAGGCCTAGGACTGGGGCGATGGCACACGTGCCCACAGAGAGGGCTCTGAGTGCCGCCTCTGGCACCCTTGCCATAGGTTCGCCACCACGGCTATATGGAGAATATTTATTAAGAGAAATTGGACTGGAAGAAGATCAAGTACAACTAGTCCGCAGCTTACAACCACAATTGAGCTCAAAAATTCTGTTGCTAAGCGAGACATTTGTTATGTGAGTTTTGTCCCATTTTATGACCTGCCCTGCCACAGTTGTTAAATGAATCACTGCGGTTATTTAAATTAGCAACATGGTTGTTAAGTGAATCTGGCTTCCCTATTGACTTTGCTTGTCAGAAGATCACAAAAGGTGATCACACGACCCCAGGACAGTGCAACCGTCTTAAGTATGAGTCAGTTGCCAAGCATCTCAATTTTGATCATGTGAACATCGGGATGCAGCAGTGATAGTAAGAGTGAAAAACGGTTGTAAATCACCTTTTTCAGTGCTGTAACTTTGAAAGGTCACCAAACAAACTATTGTAAGTTGAAGAGTACGTGTATTTTTAAAATTGGAGAAAAGAATGTCAGTAATAAGCACCGTGCTGATAACACTATGTTGATAGCAGAAAACTTAATGGATCTGCAACCTTTAGTGATAAAAGTCAAAGAATAGAGTGACAACAGTCCAACTTTCACATCCATGTTATTGAAAATGCCAAGCTTTAAACAGGCTAGTTATTGGTACACAAAGAAACATCTTGGCACTTAAAATCTTATCTTGATTCTTTATGGCTGGTTTTCTAAGGGCAATTCACTGTTTGATTTTTTGTTTTTTAGCTCCTGGTATTTTCATTATTGATTGTTGATCCAGGTTGCTTGTAATATGATCACTGATTGCTGATCCAAGCAGATTAAAGTTATCAACTCTTTCTATTTATTCCCTGTCAAGGGTGAAATTATCGATTTTACCCAGAATTTTGTCTTCATTAAGGTGCAGGCATATTTTGAGACATGTTCCTTTAATCTGATAAGAAACATTTCTAATCATCTTTAGTTTCAGTAATATTATCAGCATAGTAAAGATTGCTGATGAATCTTCAACCTGCTTTCATACTTCCAGCAGTTTCATATCTCAATCAGACCTGTTTCTTTGGTTAATTATTATGCAGATTAGTTGAATGGGTCTGAAGAATATATGCAGCCTTTTTATCCACCTTTGCACATTTTAAATCATCCTCTTTTGTTTCTCCTTGTTCTGTTCTGATAGCTGTTCCTTGATCAAAGTAAAGATTGTCATGAAGATTATCAGATATTCTGGTATATCCATACATCTTAATATGGCCCAGAGTTTTTCATGACTTATGTAGTCAAAAGGCTTGCTATAGTTAATAAGTGCAAATATCCTCCTAGTATTCTTCTATATCTTCAGTGATGTATCTGTTTTCTCACCTTTTCCTGAAGCTCACTTGTACTTCAGATAGTTCTTGTTCCAGGTATGGTTTTAGTTTCCACTGAATCTATTGAATCGAGTAGAATCTTGCTTGCATGTGGGGTCAAGATGCTTGTGTGATAATTTCCACAGTCAGCTGAATCACTTTTCTTTGGTATTGGTATAAACATTTGTTCTTTTCCAGTGAGTTGGCCATGATGTTGTCATCTAAATTTCCTGGCAAAACCTTTTAAACATTGTAACAGCTGCATCTGGTGACAGCAGTATTTGAATGAGAATGCTATTCAGTGCCCAATGCTTTTAATGCTGCTTTAGCTTATTTCATCACCAATGGACCTTTGTTATAAGTTATAGATTTTGGTGGTTGTTGATCCACTTGATCTTTATGTTTAATGACTCAAGCTGTTCCAAGTTTTATTGATCTTTTCAGCATCATTTAATATGGGTCTTTGAGCATTCTTTAGCATTATGGTTTGAGGAATGAAGTCTTAAATCTGTCTATGCTTGATCCATTTGTCTGTACAGATTTTGTGTAATAGGTTGCAATGTTATTTAGGCTGAAGTGTCTCTGAGGGAAAATTTCAGAGACTGTAGGATCCTTTAGTTTTCTCTTTCCATGGAAGCCTGCAATTTCTCAGGGACAAAACTCCAACTTCGGAGTGTGAGAACTGGTTTTTGGTTCCCATTTCTGATCTTTGTGAAAAGATCAACAATGCCATCCTCTTTGCTATTGGAGCTTTGGTGCTGGAAGAAGTTAAAGAGGGAAGTGCAGTTGAGAACAAGACACCGGTATCTTGGAGAAAGTGCTGGATGCATGGGATACAAAGGCTGCCCCTCTCTGCCCTATTTTTATGATATTTAAATTTAAAAAATCTTTTCCATTTTTTTCAGTGGAAAGGAAATCAATCTTCAATGGAAAGAAACAACCTCAGAACAGGAAGGAAGAGAGGAAAACCTAAGAAGTATCTCCTCTCATTTTCTAGGTAGGTTTCTGGCATATTTACATTCTTATAGAGCAGTAATGGCAAATCTTTTAGAGACTGAGTGCCCAAAAACCACCACCCCCCTGCCCCCCCACTCCACCCCCCCACTCCGCCCTCACACTGCCCACAGGGCCACCCACTGCCTCCATGGCCCGCCACAGATTGCCCAGGTGGCACTGCAGCGCCATGGTGGCTGCAAGATTTGGAATGTAGTATTGCTGTTGAATTACATACATATTTTGCTGAATATGAGGCATAAATGTTTCTTCAATGATTTTCTGATCTTTGGAAATGTATACTTTTTTAAAAATAAAAGTATGCCAAATCAGCATTCTGTAGCTTAAATGCATAGGATGGAAAAACACCTTATCTCAGTGGTGGCGAACCTATGGCCAGAGGTGGCACTCAGAGCCCTCCCTGTGGGCACGTGCACTGCTGCCCCAGCCCTGCCTTCCCCCAAAGTCCCCTCCTCCTTACCAGCAACCCCCCTGGAGGAGAGTTGCCCCCAAGCACAGTCTGCGCAAAGCAGCACAGCCAAGGGCATGGCAGCCAGGCAGAGGGGACAAGACTCTGCCCTTGCATCCTATTACACACAGATGATGCTGCGGGGTATGGGTGGAGGGCGTGGCCGCCATGACGCTGCTGGGCTGCTTGGGCAATCTTCTGCGGTGGGCCGTGGAGGCAGTGGGTGGCCATGCAGGTGGGCGGGGTGCAGAGAGGGGGTGGGTGGGGAGGCAGGGGCGATTTTTGGGCACTTGGTCTCTAAACGTTTCGCCATCACTGCCTTATCTTTTCTCTAACTTATTGTTTTTAAATATTGGTGCTTTTAAAATAACAGAATAAGAACATTGGAAAGGATCTTGGAGGTCTTCTGTACAACCCCCTGCTCAAGCAGGAAACTCTATATCATTTCAGATAAATGTTTATCCAATCTCTTCTTAACCCCCCCCCCCCCAGTGATAGAACACCCACAAATTCTGAAGGCAAACCATTCCACTGTTTAATTGTTCCAACTGTCAGGAACCTTTTCCTTTTCAAGGTTGGTTTTCTTCTTAATTATTTCCATCTATTGCTTCTTGTTCTGATGCCTGGACAAGTCCTTGAAGTTTTTTTTGGTAAAAGTTTGGAAGTGGTTTACCATTGCTTTCTTTTTCAGGCCTGAGAGAATGACTGGCCCAAGGTCACCTAGCTGGCTTTGTGCCTAAGATAGGACTAGAACTAATGGCCTGCCAGAGTTTAGCCTGATGCCTTAACCACTACACCAGAGTGGCATACCCGTAATTAAAACTTTATGTTTTTGTTATGGATGTAAACTTATAACATTTGGGTCAATATTTCAGGACAATAAGATACCTTCTATTTTTTCTTCTAAGCCTAGAGATAAGACTCCACAACTGGAGGAGAAATTTAACATCAAATTTCTTCTTTGGTGTTTTTCCCAGCTACTGTCAAAAGACTCTCAAATATGGCAGAATTCCTTGTTTTATCCATGTCATTAAAAAGGTTGAGAACCACTGATATAAAGTTTTATAACATAAAAATAAGAGCAGGGAGTGTGTTAGGACAGATTCTCTTCTCCTAATCCACAAAAGGTGTAGACCAGTCATAAAGAGCCCCCCCCCCACTTTTTTTTCCATTTTCACCAAGGATTCTTGGGTTTAACATTCCTTACTAGAGTATAGTTAGAATAATGTTATTATTTGGGATGAATCAGTAGCTTGAAAAACTCATCCCTCAACCCAGCTTGAAATAGCTACTATGTACAAGGTTCAGGAAACCCATTAAAAAGCATGCCAAAAAAGCCATAAATTGGAGAATGTCTTTCTATGTGACAGATATTTCTCAGCAGTTTATTATAAGCATTTTCCACTTATTTAAAATAATAATTATAAAGAAATAATGATGGGCTTTTTTGTTATCCCAAATAAGATCTTTATTTCTTTTGGGGGAAAAATTAGTTGAATGGCTTACCAAACCTATTTTGACAAAGTCTTCCTAGCTTAAACCACAACTTTCCTTCTGCATATTATCTTGATTTGAATACTGTTTATTCTAAATTCATTTTTAAAATCTCTCTCTTCATCTCTGGGAGCTCAAACAGTAGTCATTCGTCCAACTGTGTCTCGACTTTAGCAACTATTTTGTGCAATAGTTAATTCTGAAAGAAGAGGCTGACCCAAAATTACCCACTGACTTTTCTTGGATTTGAGAACCTGGCCCTTTCAATCCTACTGCAGTACCCAAACCACATTGTTGATTATCACTGAAGAATCCTCCCTGAGCCTCATTGCTCAGAAAGTCTTTCTATAATCAGTGAAGCACGTATTGATCTTTTCTTAGTATTCTTTGGCTTTCTCAGTTATCTGATGTATCAGCATTGCTTCTTATTTCTTGGCCTATTTTAATGCCAGCTAAAACATCTGGGATTTCCTTTCCTATGTAAGGTTCAAATCTGTATTGAATGATTATTTAGCTAGAATGCAAAATATACTTGTAAAATCAAAAACTAAAATTAAACTAGACAACAATTTTTTCCCCAAAAATGTTTTGCTTCCTGAAATTTTTTGGTGATTATGATAGGCCCCTTCAAACTGAAAACAAATATAATTTCAGAATGACTAGATGACATAGGAATCTTCAGAAATATGAAGTTAACATTTAATGACTTTAATTTAATTGTGTAATGTTTCTGACACGCCACATGAGTTCAACAGGACCAAAAATGTTTTGTTGCTGATTTGCATTTACACTCTGATGCAACTCACTGTTGTTCTCACTGTTAGAAAGCTTCTCCTTAATTCCAGGTTGCTTCTCTGATTAGTTTCCATCCATTGTTTCTTGTCCTGCCCTCTGGTGTTTTGGAAAATAAGTTGACCCTCTCCTCTGGTGCTCTGTAGTTGTCAAGAAATTTGTCAATAACATCCTTGAATGCTTTCCATTCCAGGTTTTCCATTTCTTTGACCCCACTAGTAGATCTTTGAACCACTTGTCATTGATGGTGCATCTGATCTGTGGACCAACAAAATTTCCTTCTTTAATGTGGCATGAGTTATTCATGAAAACATCTCTCTCAAATAACAAAAACCTTCACCTTTCTTGTTCATCACTTTCACAGTTTTCTCAGTCTGAGTTTTATGTGAAGCAACAGCAAAAATAACTTTGTTGGATCAATAAGTGGTTTGTGTGCCATGTTTTTCTGTCCTGGAACTAAATTCTTTCAGAGTGGCTGTTTCTTTTTAATATAATGTGACTTTCTTGTACAGCAGTTCCATTTGCATATGTGATAAGCATATTGGTATACACTACCTACATTCCAAGGAGCCACTACTTTAGATCCCAACAGATATTCCTGTGGCATTCGGTGTATTGGATGTGCTTAGACAATAGTTCCATGTTTTTGTATATTTCTTTCATGTGTGCAGCATAGCCAACAGGTATTGAAGGGTGTACTGTGTAAAAAGAATTTCTGTAAAACAGTAAATGATAGGTTAAATTACAGGTTATTTTCATGATTAGAATTTGTAGGATACACCAAAAGTGTTCAGGAAGCAAAATCTTTGTTGTCTAGTGTTATTCTTATGATCTCACCACCATTTGCCCTAGCTTCACCCATGTAATTGGGAGATTGAGAATTAAAAGATTGATAGTAATAGCACTTAGACTTACATACCGCTTTACAGTGCTTTTACAGCCTTTCTCTCTAAGCACTTTACAGAATCAGCATATTGCTCCTCCAACAATCTGGGTCCTCATTTTACTGACCTCAGAAGGATGGAAGGATGAGTCAACCTTGAGCTGGTGAGAAATTGTCAGGAAATTTCTCCTTAGTTCTAGGTTGCTTCTCTCTTTGGTTAGTTTCTATCTCTTGCTTCTTATCTTGCCTTCAGGTGCTTTGGAGAATAGCTTGACTCCTTTGTGGCAACCCCTGAGATATTGGAACACTACTATCATGTCACCCCTCGTCCAATTCCAGCAACCGTTTCTTATATGTTTTAGCCTCCAGTCCCCTAATCATCTTTGTTGCTCTTTTCTGTACTCTTTCTAGAGTCTCAACATCTTTTTTACATCGTGGTGACCAAAATTGGATGCATTATTCCAAGTGTGGCCTTACCAAGACATTGTAAAGTGGTATTAACTTTATGTAAAGTGGTATTAATGCAGCCTAGCACCGTGTTGGCTTTTTTTGGTATCTGCAGCACACTGCTGGCTCATATTTAAGTGATTGGCCATTAGGACTCCAAATCTCTCACACAGTTACTATTGTTGAGCAAGGCACCACCTATACCAGGCGTGTCAAATTGCCGGCCCGCAGGCTGGACATGTCACGTGGAAGCCACGCCCACCCCATTGCCGGCAATGGCAAAAGTTTGACATGCCTGACCTATACTATACCTATGCATTTGGTTTTTCTTGCCTAAATGTAGAACCTTACTTTTTTCACCACTGAATTTCATTTTGTTAGATAGCGCCCAATGTTCAAGTCTGTCCAGATCCGTCTGTATCTTAAGCCTGTCTTCTGGTGTGTTGGCTATTCCTGCCAGCTTGGTGTCATCTGCAAATTTGATGAGTTCCCCATCTATCCCCTCATCCAAATCATTGATGAAGATGTTAAAGAGCACTGGGCCCAGAACAGAGCCCTGGGGCACCCCACTACACACTTCCCTCCATGTAGATGCAGTTTCCCACATTTTTATATCTTATCAAGTAGTAGGTTGTGGTCTACTTTATCAAATGCCTTACTGAAGTCCAACTAAATTATATCCACAGCATTCCTCTGGTTTGCTAATTTTGTCACTTGGTCAAAGAATGCAATAAGATTTCTTATTGCATTCTTTGACCAAGTGACAACATTAGGGGACCAGAGGAATGCTGTGGATATAATTTATCTGGACTTCAGTAAGGACTAGGACATGGCAGAATTCATTCCAAATCTGCTGTTAGTCATAGAAATTTACTTTTACCTTTTGGCTCTACCTTCCTTACAGTCTTATTATGGCCCAGACTAAATCAAAGGAAATCCCATGTATGCCACCTTGAACTCTTAGAGATATAAATTTTAGGATATAAATGTAATAGATAATTCCAGTAGGTCCAACTGAACTATTTTTCATAATTATTCTTTTCTTATTTGAAGCTCCTTCAATTATTTTTTCCCCTCAATCCTACTTTAAAAATTTAAAATCTTAAAGACACATTCAAAACAAAATTTAACTCCTGGTGACTGGTTCATGCAGCTTTTATGCCAGCATACCAAAGTGCTTAGCCATCGCCTTCTTTCTGGAAGTCTTAGCCAGAAGCATTGAAATTTCCAGATAGTTACCTTCTCACTCCCCACCCTCCAGGTATTAAGTATTAATTGCTCAACTTCAGAATCAGCCAACAACCGCCAACAGCCATCAACAGCCTCCTCCTCCTCCTCCTCCTCCTCCTGCTTTTGCTTCTATTCCTCTCATAACTTATATATATTATATCCCAATATTTTATTTTATGTAAAAATAATAACTTTTAGATTATACTAGTTTTTATTTAAGTTGTCTTGTATTTATATATCCATGGTACAATAATACACTAATGTTTTTTTAGTATATAAAACAATTTTAGATAATATTTGTGGGAGGAGACGAGAGAGGAGGTGGAGGAGGAGGAGAGGAGAGGAGGGAAGGAAGAAATGAAGGAAGGAAAAGAAAGAGAGAAAGAAAGAAAGAAAGAAAGGATTCTGATGGGAATGGGTGTTTTTAAAATGCTAATACTCGACCTCATTTTTTCCCAGTTCACATTCCTGATCTGGCAATGGTTGGAACAGACTATCTTCTGAGCCAATAGATGTGCTGGACTAATCTGGAGCCCAGAGTCCAGCTGCAAAAGAGATTGGCTGGTCTCTGAACAGCTCTAATGCATGCTGTTGCAGCATCCACCCTGCTAAGGCCACATCAGAAGAATTTCAGACTAATTTTACCAACTATTCTGTCTCAAACAATGTTGAATATTTGACTTCATAGGGGAAGAAACAATAACAACAACAACAAAAGAGCGGGTAGCAACAATAAAATAAAACACTCTATTGCTTGTTCATCTCTTCCAACAACTGAATAATTAGTCTCCCAAAAAGAAAATGTGCTCCTTGATTATCTATTTTATTATGTACTTTAACTGTATGGATTTGAAACTGATTTATCATGCAGGCACATATTGCAGCTTTTGAACTATGGTTAAAGTAGCATTTTGCCCAAATGTCAAATGATGTGTTATGTTATTTATATCAGATTTTCTCTCTCTCTCTCTCTCTCTCTCTCTCTCTCTCTCTCTCTCTCTCTCTCTCTCTCTCTCTCTCTCTCTCTCTCTCTCTCTCTCTCCCCTTTCCTCCTCACATTTAGAAGCTGCCCATCTCCCTCACAGAGTGACTCTGGGTGGTTTATTCAAGGGATAATTTGAGTCCAGTCCCTATATAATTCATGAGTAAAACATGGCACTTGCAGGATAACCCAGGAAGTTCAATAGTAGCAGTAACAGAGTAGTGTTAATTGAATAGCTAAAGGGAGACAAAAAGAGAAGCAAAAGGAATGGCAATGGGGCTGGATGAGCTTTTCTGTTTGGTTCTTAGCATGTGGACCAACTGTTCTTGAAATGAAATAAATAAAAATTCTAGCAGCACTCCCTTCTGCATTCTGGCCCCTCTCTTGGGACCCTGGCTAAAGTATGAGAGCTCCCAGGAGTATTGCCATTATTCCCAAACTTTATTGGTAAAGTTAAAATCCACCAATCTTTATTTCACCTTGAACCAAAAGGCTTGTATTTGAGTCAGGTTTTAGAAACAAGCGTTATGACTTCTCCTGCTACTTGCATTCTTGCAATATTTATCTTGCATTCTGTCCTATGTTAACAGGTAAAATGCAATTATCTGCAGTCTTTTCCAATGAATACAAAACATTGGAGCCCCTTACACATAAAACTGAACTGAACTGAAGTATTTAGAGAATTAGCTAAGCTTAAGCTTGTCTTTCTGATATTTCTTAAAAAGAATATAGATGGCTTGCTTGGATAAGATATTTTTTTTTCCCCATGGAGCCATTAGTTACTGTAAAATTGAAAAAAAAGATGCTTAGACAGGCAATAAAAATGTATGCAAATATTTATTTATTACCCACTCACTCATTCAATCAAACTTATAGGTTACCTAGATCACAAAATGCAATTCTGGGCAGCTTACAACAACTAAAATAGAACAGACACCAAAAAGAAATAAAAAAATAACAAAAACAGTAGAATGATACACTGAGACAAAGAAATCAGGAAAACTCATCAGTAGTTCCACATATTTCACCTATGAGAGAATATTACAATATCTGAGTCTTTTTAACTTATTACAAGAAAGGCGAGTAAATAGAAGAATGGGAGAGAAATATAAAATTATGCATGGGTTTAGTGGATAGGCCTTTCATACTACTCTGAGTTATTCACAAAAGCTAACCGGGATAAGATACATGCAGCCTATCAGCATCCATGCAGAATGACCCCTTAAACTGAACCTTTTTCATTTCATTCTTTCAAAATTTGAAGCTACCAAGTATGGCCCTCCATGTGCCTCACAAAGCCTGATGGAGATTTCCAAGGGCATTACTTGTGGATTTCTGGCTGGAATTAGCTTCCAGTTTCTTTCCAGGTGCAATTCAAGGTGTTGTCATCATCTTTAAAGCCCTGTATATCCCTGTCTGTGGAATCACCTTTTCCCAAGGACATCTACCTGCTTAAGCAGGTCAGATAGGGTGGGATCGCTCCTAGTGTCTTCCCCTAAATATTATAACCAGATGAGAGCTAGAAAGTATGCTTTTTCTGTGGCGGCCTCTACCCTATGGAACATATTGCCACCTCACGTTCAGCAGGCCTCTATCCTTTTAGGTCTTTGTAAGGCTTTCCTTACGGAAAGCTAAAAAGCTTTTCCCTCCAGGTTTTGGGAGAGATTAGATGACTGCACATTTGAATTAACTGGTGCCTGATTTATTGTTTTTAATGTTTTAATTGGCTGAGTTTTATCATTTTTAAAATGTTTTACATGTCTTTTAATTTTTGATTGGGAGCCACACAGAGTTGGGTGACTATATAAATGTTTAAATAAATAAATAAATTTAATAATTTACTCATGCTCTGCAATTTCCATCTTGAAGATAGATCTAAAAGGAAGAGCTCCTTTTAGCTAGTCCATCTAACTTAATATATATATATATATATATATATATATATATATATATATATATATATATATATATATATATATATATATACATTGCTTTTCAACTACTGCTTCTTAGCATCTAGACGAGGGGTCTGCAACCTTGACAACTTTAAGACTTGTGGACTTCAGCTCCCAGAATTCCTCAGCCAGCATACCTGTCAAGATTGCAGACCCCTGATCTAAACTAATGAACTCCAAAACCTACGTGCAATTAAAAATATTCTAAAGGCAATACTGTAAATCGAATACTGTGAGAATGAGAACATTTCAGCAAGGAAGTCCCAGTTTAGCTAAAAATCATTGGGGCTAAGTCCCATAAGAGCAGTTGAATTTAATAATTAGCCCTCAAGTTCTTCTTGCTTACTTAACTTCAGTGAGCTTAGTGATAACTATCTTGTCCTGGGTCAGAGATACCATATACAGAGAAACAGCCAATATTTAAAACAGAGAATATTTAAAAGGAGGGGTAACAACTCTGTGAATCCGAATTGTTTCTATAAAAGCTCTTATCTGCTAAAATGTTAACCAGAGCGCATCCTGGCCAGCTTTTTCATAGAATTCACAAGTCACCAATAGCTGCAGAAAGCAAAAGTGACAAGCAAATAACACCATGTGGATCATGAGCCAAATGACAAAACTTACTTTTATCAAACTTCACAGTGTGAGAACAAAGTGTACCGTGCACAGTGACATCATGATGCCTGAGTTTTGTCCTTTTGACATCATTCTCATTTGTTATCATTCAGGGACCAAAAAATGTTCACTCAGTATTTATGGTAAGAGAGTCAGTCCCAACTGTGGTTTTTTTTTTTTTTTTTTTAGATAACACAGAAGGCAGTTTTGTTCATACAAATTCCTCTCTTCTGGATCAGCCTTAGAAGTATCCATTTGCTATCAATGGAGCAATAGTTTTAGTAGTACTTTCCCCAAGAAAAATGGTGTGTTTGATATATTTACAGTTGGCCTGGAAAATAATGACATAATAGCTGTGTTTAATTCAGGAGTTACCGAATTAACACATTTTCTGAATTTGCATAATATATTGAACAAATAAGCTACATTGCACAACATGCTGAAGACACACAAACTCACTGTTGGTTCCTTAGCCAAACAGCTTAAGCACGTTCTGTAATATGGAAATGGTGTCTTTCAATCCCAGTTCCTTCTTAAATGACCATAACTTCCTAAAATTGATCTGAATTCTACTACTGTCACCTCAGATTTGTCATCATTGAATTTCTGCTGCATAAACTATTGATCTCAACTATGGAATACCTTGGTATATTTTTTTGAAGGACGCTATAAGAATTGAGTTTTTTAAAAATGAAAAGGAAAAGTTAATTTCTTTCAAATCAAACATGACATTGTTTTCTCTGGCAAAGAAACTGACCAGGCTTTCTGACTCTCTCTTTTTCTCAACCTCTAACAATACTATCTATTATAGGGAAAATAAAACATTAATAATAGGGTGTCCTATTTTTTTTCTCCTTCCCCACTCTGTTTTTTTCTCCTTTGGAGTCATAACTTCAATTTAAGGGCAAGTGCTGCTGGATTTTTAAAATTCTTATTCCTTTATTTATTCATTAGATTTTTATTCTACTTTTTCTCCAAGAGCTCAAAGTGGTATTCATAATTCCTTCATCCTATAACTGTAGCTCTGTGAGGTTTGGCTGTTTTAAGTTAGCAGGTTCGCAATGGAGTGCAATTAATTTAGGGAGCTTCTGTTGATTTTTTTCCTTAACCGCTACATTACAGTGGCTCTTGTGCTTATTAACTTAGCTTTGGGGTGGGGGGAACCCTTTGACATTGAATTTAAACAGACAACATTGTTAAACAAATGATAAATGCTTCATGTGCTTGAATATATCAGACGGCTTGGCTCAGTTTCAATTTTACTCCTTCCAAATTATTTCTTGCCAAGAGCATAAGACATCTCTGTACACCTGATGTTTTGCTTGAGAAATGTCCTTGGTTTGGAGATATGTGGTCCATAGACCAAGAAAATGGGAGGATAGATTTATCAAAGGCATTCCCTAAACAAGAGCAGTTTTCTACCAGCTATGGTTCTAAGTGGGAGGCAGCAATGGATCTGCAGCTTAAAGTTTTCAAAGTAATTTAATTATCTCTCTCCATTCAGTGAGCTATGATCTTAAAAACTGAACAGGTGGCTGAAGTCAAGCACATCCTTGAACTGTGAAGTCTACCCTGAATTCCCTGCAAAGTAGTAGCTACATCCAATTACTTAAAAGACTAAAATGGCCAAATTTGCAATGCAATACATTCATACCAGGTTATGCTTAATGGTTGATGTGTGCAAAACTAAAGGGAGACCAGCTTGTTCTCAGCGATTCAGTGATAAGCAACTTTGTTGATGTTTCATTAATAACCAAGGCAAATAACACGTTTAACTATCAGCATTGTTTCATACCCTACCTATTGTGGTGGAATGCTTTTACAAGTTGAAATCACTTTGTTCTTTATACCAGCTAGGCTTGGTTTACATTGTTAATATCTACCACATATAGTATTATTATGAACATGTAATTATAGCACCTCAATGAAGCCCCCTCACATATAATCAAACTGAATTTACAGGTTGTAGATATACAACAGTTCATTTAATGACTGTATAAAGTTACAACAGCAATAAAAAAGTGACTTATGACCGTTTTTCACACTTACGGCTATTGCAGCATCCCTATGGTCATGTAATCAAAATTGAGACTGACTCATACTTATGACAGCTGCAGTGTCCCAGAGTCATGTGATCACCTTTTGCGACTTCTGACAAAGTCAATCAGCAAGCCAGATTCCCTTAACGACTGGGTTACTACCTTCACAACTGCAGTGATTCACTTAAGAACTATGGCAAGAAAGGTTGTAAAATAGGGGAAAAACTCATTTAACCAATGTCTCACTTAGGAACAGAAATTTTGGGATCAATTGTGGACGTAAGTCAAGGACTAACTCTATATTATTATGAACCAAGCTGTAAAGTCAATGATCTT